TTATCGATTGTTAGTTCCTTTTATTGATGATGTTGTTGTTGTAGCAGTAGTACATGTATGTGTTTGCGTTCTGCTAATCTGGTTCCAGCTCCAGGTTTAGAAATTCGGCTACTTTAACGGGCTGTAGCCAGAGATCTTCTGGAGTGAGTTGGGTAGGTTTGGCTGTGCAATTAAAGAGGTGTAGCGTATTGTGCGGGCCTGTATCGCACGCCGGGCAGGCGTCACGCACATCTTCATCAATTCGTGCCCAATACGAATTGAGACGACTACACCATCCTGAACGTAATTGCGCCAAAACTACCCTGGTTTGTCTAGGCAGCTGACGTTCTTCAGCTGCAATGGATGGGGGGTGGACTCCGAGGACGGCATTCACTTTAAAACTGCTAATAGCATCCGCGACTGCATCGGTGTGAATGCACTCAGACCTGCCTGATAGGCTTCTTGATCTAGACGTTCTCTCTTGTAGCGCTAAACCTCCCTCTCTAGATCATGTATGTCCTTCCTGACACGCCTGGGTGGGGGAGATTTATCCACCATATGATGGTTGGGATGACTCTCACGGTAACACCCAAGCAGATACTGCAACGAAAGCATATGATTATGCTGACGTAAGGGAAGGACTTTCGCCTCCTCATGTAGATGGTCCACTGGTGTCATGAGGAGGCACCCTGTCGCAGTTCTCAGGGCAGCGTTCTGGCAGGTCTGGATATGCTTCCACTGCGTAGCACTAGTATTCGCAGACCACACTGGAGCCGCATAGCTGACCACAGACTGACCTATCGCGTTATAAGAGGTCAACAAGGTTTCTTTGTCCGCACCCCAAGAGCTGCCGGCTAGCGCCTTGAGGACCTTGTTCCTACTTTTCATCTTGTCGCAGATAGCTGTGGCTTGCGCGGACGACTTGAACATGCTGTCGAACGTGGCCCCAAGAATCTTGGGGTAGTTCGTGGTCGGTATTAGATTCCCCTCGACCTGAACATTCAGCTGTGTTCTCACCTCCGCAAACCATGTGGTGAAGAGTGTGGCCGTTGATTTCGTGGCGGATATTTCCATATTCCTCGCGTGAAAGTATGCGGCAAGCTCCGTGAGATAGGGGTTCAACCTTTCGCATATGTCATCGACCAATGGACCCGACGCCATGATCGTACAATCATCCGCATACGTTACGATCTCAATGCCGTCTGGAGGGCGAGGAATTCCGGAAAGGTAGAGGTTAAACAGTTCCGGAGATATCACCCCACCTTGGGGAACTCCCTGTTTCACTCTACGGGCTTTGGACTTCTTGTTCCGGAATTCCACGTACGACTGGCGTTCACACATATAGTTGATTATCCAACGTTTCAAACTTGGCCGGAGGGTAGTTCTCTGCACGTCCTCGAACAGTGTGGCATGATTGACCGTATCAAATGCCTTTGATAGGTCAAGGGCTACCAACACTGTTCTGTCACACGGCCTGTTCTGGTTCAGTCCTCTACTAATATGTGTGGAAATGGCGTGTAATGCTGTTGTGGTACTATGTTGTGGACGGAATCCGTGCTGGTGGTTAGAAACTGTATAGCTTCCTCTAATGCTGGGGAGGAGTAAAGCCTCAAGAGTCTTTGCTACTGGCGACAAAAGCGAAATCGGCCTGTACGTTCCGCCTTTACTGGCATCCTTGCCTGGCTTCAGTAGCGGGACCACCCGGCCCATTTTCCAGGATTCGGGCACTATGTGGGTGGCTAGCGACAAATTGAGAACTTTCGTTAAGTACTCGACTCCCGGCGTATCCAGCTACTTCAACATTACCATTGAGATTCCGTCTGGGCCCAACGCTTTGGATGACTTAGCGTTACGGATGACATTTGCAACATCACCCATCGTAAACTGTGGTGGTTCCTCCTCGGAGGGGAGGAGATCTGATACGACGTAGTACTCTTCGCTTCGCCCTATCGCTCTCGGGGTGCTCGACAAATTGTCGATTAAAATATTCCGCGCACCTCTTCGGATCAGTCACCGTTACGTCGTTAAAAATGACTGAGGTCCTATCATCCTTTTTTCCAGGGTTCGAGAGCGACTTAACCGTTACCCACAGCTTACTCATATCGGTTCCAATGTTGCAGCACTTCAGATGGTCTAGCCACTTTTTCCTCTTATGCTCCTGAACCAACCGGTTGACTTCCACTGTCAAATCACTGATTCTAGGATCAGTAGGGTTGGTATGACGGAGATCATCACGCTCGTTTGCTAATTCCGCTGCCTCTGCTGGGAAGTTTGGTCTTATCTCGGGTATTCGACCAGCAGGTATATAGCGAGCGGCTGCAGCTTTGATGATGTTTCGGAAAATCCTTTCTGCTACCCGAACATCGGAAAGGGTTGGACAGTTCTCTGAAGCGGCGGTTGGTGAATTCTCTGAACTCTGGACAGTGAGCTTTCCCATGGTTAAGGAAAGTGCGGCGTTCAGCGGTTATGAAATCGGGCGACCTGCTTATGGAGACGATTATCGGGAGATGGTCTGAGCCATGAGAAATGACGGGTTGCCAAGTCACGTCATTTATCAGACCGGGTGACACTATGGTTAAGTCTGGCGAACTGTGACACTCTCCTCTTATTCGGGTGCAGAATGTGGAGCAGTCAATATGCTCTGCCAGCGCTGATCCCCTCTGGTCATTACCTAGGACGGAATGCCACAACTCATGGTGGGCATTAAAATCCCCTAGTACCAGGCGGTTATTGCCTACCAATAATGGGCTAATATCAGGCAAATAACGCGGTTCACAGCTATTAATCGGCGGGATATACACATTAAGCACCTCTACCTCGGCAGTTCCACACTTGACTGCTACCCCCATACATTCCATGTATGGGTCACTAGAGACTAGCTCAAGCGAAATAGGTCTGTACTGAACAGAATGGTGTAACAGGAACGCTAATCCCCCACCTCCACTTCTGGTACGATCCTTCCTTAGTACGTTGTAACCATAACAACGTTGTAGGCTGCAATTTTCATTCAGCTTGATTTCCTGCACCGCTGCGATCTTTATATTCCTCCGACTCATAAATTCCACTATCTCATCTATTTTGCCTCGAAGTCCGTTGCAATTGAATTGCAAGAATGCTGCACAATCCGGAACAGCAACATGTGGCGTTAGGTGCTGCGGTGTTGGTTGCTGTTCTGGAGACTGCGGTGGAGTGCCATACTCCGACGACGTCTCAGATGTGGACGACGAAGAAGTGGACTCACTGGGGACTACGTTACTGCAGCAAGTCGCAACATAATCCCTTTCGCTGTAGTCTCGCAAACGCCTTAGTCCGGAACAGTTCTTGAAGTGCACCCATTCTCTGCATCCATTACATCGCACCGAAACAGATCTGTGGTGGATGACGTTCTGACAAACCGAGCAGAACCAAGGTCCTGGGTTTTCCTCAATCCCGGCACGGATTAATAAAATCCGGAGCAAACATTCCGGGATATGCTGCTCCCAATGCAGAAAAATAAACAAACACAAACATGTACATACTGGGTTGGCAGCCGCTGGCCGAAACTGGGATCTTGTTGTTTCGGGTCAAACCTGTATCGTAGGATTGTGATTGAATAGAATATTGACCCTGAAATAGTACTGAATAAGAGCAATAATTCTTTTTTAGACATTTCCCTATTTTTATTTTAGAAACAATCTATATAATCCGAGTATAGGGAGTTAAAGTTTCTATATTTCCATGGTAGAAAAATACTGATATAAACGCTTGGGAACATTGATATGTCAAAATATTTTAAATGTCTTTTCAAATATAAGTAGATTTTTATATGTTTTCTCATACGACGTCATTCGAAGGTTATTATAATACGCGTTTTTCAAAAATTTTTACGAATTGAAATAATTTTTCATTAAACATTTTCAATTCCAAAATTGGTTTGACAGTTCATTGTCTAAGCAGCTGAGTCGATGCGTTTACCTATATTCTTCTAACATGCTAGATTTCGAAGAAAATGTTGAAATAAATTGAAAAGAAAAAAGTCCGAAATAAAATGTGGAAATTTTTGACTTTTTCGATTTTATACAAATTTGTACAAAGAATTATCGCAAAAGTGGAACGAATTTTTACTTAGGTCAACCCATGGTGCAATAAAAAGGTAAGGTAGAGCTACCAGCTGATTACAATTTTTTGCTAAGTGTGCCCGACTTCTGCCAATTTTGTGTATGTATTTATTGTTTTGAAAAATAAAAACAAAATATTTTCAAAATCAATGATTGGTACATTGCGGTACGCTCATTAAAGCCTTTCGCCAGTTTTGCCATGTAATTCAAAGATAGAACTATTTAGATCATATTTTTAAAGGAAAATCCAGACATTTCATTCATTTTTCGCGCTAACTGATTTTAAAAACGAGGAAAAATGTTAAATATATGAAAAAAATCGTTACATGCAAATTTGACAGGAAGCAGGCATAGCCTCAGGGCTGTATTTCTGTAGTTATACGAAGCTGTTCGACCTCCTTATTGTACCCTGGGTAAAAATTGTTCTACCAAAAACTGCTTTGGAGAGCATGTTATATGCCAAAATACTCGTAAGGGCTTCCACTTTCATTTTGACGTTCAACAGATTTTTGGACGTTTTTATATGGGAGCTTCCAGAGCCAGATTTTCATCTTGACCACCTGTGGGATATCAGAAAGTTAAAAAAACTGATTTGGAGAATATCGGAATATATCAAAATTCTCGTTAATATTTTTTCATTTGACATATAGCTTTTGATGGACGATTTGCGTTTGCGATATTATGCATGAAATTAATAATAGGGTTATAAATAATCATTATCAAAGAACATTTATTTATTTAATGGACTTTTTCATTCGTATTTTTGTGAATTATTTTTTTTTTTCAAATCGGTAGTAGTTTTTCTGTCGCACAGTTGACAATAGTATAAATTGGAAAATTCGATTTTTTTTCTGAGACACCCTGTAGTTTTGGGAAAATCGATGTTATCGATAATTAGCAACGTTGCTAACTTCACGCAGGTTAATCGATACTCCGTACTAATCCCCTAAGTACGCATCATATACTGAATGCAATACGTTGAGTGAATTTATTAATACGTGTCACATAAATTATTAAAAAACAGTCGTCACCAGAAATTGCAATATGCATACTGTACTAACAAGAGGAAATGCGACTGTAGCGTACACTCTTTCGGTTTTGGCATGTTTAACATTTTGTTGTTTTGTGTCAACAGTGTTCCTGGATTACAGAGTCGCGTCAAACATAAATACGGGGAAAGTTTTAGTGTAAGTACTCCCGTGTCGACATACAGTATTTTTCATTTCTGAAATCTATAAAATATAGGAAAAATGTCCCCGATTATGGTGCCTCAAGGGAAAAGCATGATTTGGGATATATAACATTTGATCTGGAAACAAATTTGACAAGTCTTTTCAATTGGAATGTAAAGCAGCTTTTTATATTTCTTACTGCTGAATATAAAACAGAAGACAATGTATTAAATCAAGTTGTCCTGTGGGACAAAATAATTCGCCGGGGAAGTAATGCGGTACTGGATTTCAAAAATCTAAATACAAAGTATTATTTCTGGGATGATGGAAACGGTTTAAAGTAAGTTTATTGTACAGTTTGTTTCTTCTTGATATTAAGTTTGATTTACTTCTAGGAACAATCCTAATGTCACTCTTTATTTGTCCTGGAATATAATACCCAATGCTGGTCTTCTACCGACAGTCAAGTCTTTCAGTTCTCACACATTTAAATTTCCATCTGAATACGCATCCGCGTTGATTTAAAATATTTGTTAATAAATATCGACCAATGTATATTTGAATGAAGTTATCGTGTTACTATAGATAATCCTTGTTATACAAAAAGGGTTGCCTAAAGGTTCGGTAACACTGGGCAAATATTTCGAATCGAAATTTGTTTTCCCATATTTGACTGAACAAATGTGAAATTCATACAGAGTTGATTCGATGTTCACATTACAGTCAAATATTTGACAGATTTTATTTGTTCAAGCAGTCACCAAACAGCGTCAAATAGTGCTATGGGAAAACATGTCTGACATATGTTCACATTCGTGAAAAACATTTGTAGCATACAACTGATTTACAAATGGTTAGTGTTATGTGTGAAAGCTATTTGTGGTAAAGCACGCATGACTTCCGGCCTTATTGCTCGTCGGAGGTGGGGTTCAATAAACCACAATGTCCCATTACCATCAGGCTACAAGTAAATATCTTAATATTTGCGTGCTTATATGTTTATAGGTGTAGAGAGGAAAAAGGGAATAAATAGGTATGGCATAAGGTATATGTTAATTTTACAGAGCAGGAAAAAGAAATGTCTAATACACATGTTGCTGGAGTTTGGAGAGATAAACAGAATGGCTGATCTACCTAAAGGTACGGTCACACTGGGCAAATATTTGATCGAAATTTGTTTTCCCATATTTGACTGAACAAATGTGAAATTCATACAGAGTTGATTTGATGTTCACAATTCAGTCAAATATTTGACAGATTTTGTTTGTTCAAGCAGTCACCAAACAGTGCTATGGGAAAACATGTTTGACACATGTTCACATTCGTAAAATATATTTTCCCATTAAATTGTTTGATCAAACTGTAAGGAAACATAAGTTTATTTGGTCGAGAGAAATAGACAGAGAGAGTGAAAGAGAGACAGGTGTTGTGGAATAAATTCCTTGCCAGAACAATTTTTTTTGCATTTTGTTTGTATCATGGTAGAAGAATACAGGTAGTCACATCGACATAGCTGCTGGGACAATGAACTGTCAAAACAATTTTGAAATTGAAAATAATGAATGAAATTTTATTGAAGTTTGTAAAAATTGTTGAAAAATATATATCATTGCAAACTCTGATTTTTCGCTGTATAGGAAAACATAAAAAACTATTTATATTTGTCAAAACATTTCAAAATTTTTGACATATCATTGTTTCAAGCGTTGATGCATCTACCCATATCCTGTTCCAGAACCTGCAAGAATCTACTAGTTTCGCAATTTTCTTCGATATAATAAAGGGAAAATCAGTAATAGTAGTAAAAACTTTTACATCTTGCAGTTCTGGAACAGACCATATATTAAATTTTTACTAAACATTCAAATTCAGTTAATTCAAAAATATCAAATAAACAAAACCACCTATTGTATTCGTTTGCTTTTCTATTAATTAAACATCATGTTACAAATGCTCCTGTTCTTAAAGCAAAATGCTGCCCAATGTTTTAAACTGATATTTTTCCTTGTTTGACCTTACAAAACATTTGCACCGTCAAATAAATGTTTGACCAAAAAAGAGAAAAATAATTGATCATAGGTGTTCACATTATGGACACACTGGTCAAATTTTTGTTTTCTGGCAAATAATTTTGTTTTCCCAAAATCAGCTGTTTTTGTATTTACCGTCAAATAATATTTGGTGGTCAGATTGTGGCAAAGAAATATTTGACATTTTTCGTCAAATATTTGCTCAATGTGACCTTACCTTTAGAATTTTACATGATTATTTCGAGGAGTTACAAACGGAATGACAAAGTTAATATAGGGTATAAAAGGGTATACCTATTGTATATCCAGAAATGGAATTAAATAACAAAACGTCATATAGAATTTGACTCTAGTATTACTATAGACTTGCTGTTACCTGTAATAATTATACCATGAGGTCCACAAAACAATTAAAATTTTTTATGGGAGAATTCAATCATACACGCTATAATTATAATTATATTTTAAAGTTCAAAAGACTAAATATGCCGAAGCATTTGTATCTTTTAAATTCGGACTTGTATTGCTTATTTGATATATATGGGAGCTATATCCAAATCTGAACCGATCTTCATAAAATTTGGCAAAGATATTTCTGAGCTGTATTTCATATATTTCCCTGTTATGGAGTGCATATTAAGGCTGTGGGTAACAAATATAACAAATCGGATCAACAATATATATGGGAGCTATAGCTATATCTGAACCTATCTTCACCAAATTTGACATATCAGATTCTAGACTCAATTCGGTCGTATGTGCCAAATTCCATCCCATTTGGACAAATATTAGACGTTTGGTGCACAATAAAAGATAAATCGGACGAAGTTATAAATGGGAGATATATCCAAACCCGAACCGGTCTCGATAAAATTTAGCAAAGGTATTTCTGAGCTGTATTTCATATATTTCCCCAAATATTGTTGTTACAGAGTGCATATTACGGCTGCGGAGGTCTAAAATAACAAATCGGATGAACAATATATATTGAAGCTATAGCTATATCTGAACCGATTTCGATCAAATTTGGCATACTTATTTTCAGTTTGGTTGTATTTGCAAAATTCCATACTATTCGGGCTGATATTACACGTTTGGTGCACAATAAAAGGCAATTCGAACGACGATATATTTGGGAGCTATGTCTAAATTTTTACCGATTATCTGCAATTTCAAAAGGGTTCGTTCTTGGGCCAAACAAATGATTTGTACAAAATTTCATTTTGATTGGGTAATAAATGCGAACTGTACTTTGTTCACAAAAATACATGGACAGGCGGACAGACGGACATGCATAAATCGACTCAGAATGTGATTCTATGCAGATCATCAAAAGGAGCTATGGGTCTATCTCGTTTCCTTTTGCCTGTTACAAATGCACAAAGACATAATACCCTGACCACCTTGTGGTGTAGGTATAAAAATGTGGTCAAAATCATCAAAATATCGAATATATACCGTTATATGGGGGCTATACCAAAATGCCGTTATATGGGAGCTATACCAAAGCGTGGACCTATACATGCAAAGTTTCGCCACCAAAGCTAGTACCTATTATGATCAACAAATAACAATTTTCAGACAAATCCGTGAAAAAGAGTTGCAAAAATCATCAAAATACCGAATATCACAATAAAAATTATTCTGCTAAATTTTGACGCTCTACGTTAAATAATGTGGACTGTATCGTGATTTCAACAGACAGACGGACATCGTTAAATCGTCTTAGAATTTTATGCTGATTATGAATATATATACAAGTTAACGACGGAAACATAGTCAGTTCAAACCAAACAACAACAAGTCAAACCAACCAAACGTGCCAATGCTGAACCTGCCGATTTAGCAAGATTACGTTCCCAGGTGAAACCTAATCCACACGCGCAGCAAGAACTCCAAATGAATCTGTATCCATACGCGCAACAAGTGCATGAGTGAGTTGATGGTGGGAAATGCAGAATAAGCAGTTATACGTTTAGATAGTTGTCTTTAGGAATAATAATTGTAAATTCATTGCAGTCAGATTTGGGAATTAATAAATAAAGGTTGTGTTGTTAACCATAGGTTAACAAACATAAAAAAATATATTTTTTTAAATTATTTTAAATCTTTAAAATGGTCCTTATTCGTAAAATAAAACCCTCGTGAAAAGTGTTTTCCGGGAAAACAATAAATAGATCGCGGATCGCGCTTTAGTACAGTGTTGCCGTTTGAAATTTTTTTATTTTTTTTTTAGTGCTCATTAAGCTCGTCTCGAAAGAGAAATCAAACACATAAATCATAAAACATATGATCTTCGCCTTAATAAGGCAAAACTCAAAAATTCAGCCGAGCCTGGCTGTGGGATTTGAACCGCGGACCTCGGTGTGCAGCCAACTAGAAGTTGCCGTCTCTACGTTCAGAGCCATTAACCCGTCTTCCTAAAGTAGCACTAAAACAAGTGTATGCATTGGAAGCAATGTAGTTGTTGTGGACAAAAAATCCATCACTACAAAAACAAAAAAAAACTTTGCTGTGAAAAAGATCTGCCAATAGAACTTGAGTCGAACCTGGAGAGTTTCTAGTGTATAATTCGCATATGCTAATTTGCAATAAGTTCGAAATATATACTACTTTCCAGAGAACGGCCCTTGTAAGCCATCATCCACACCAAATATGCCTGATGAGCCGCTTAACCAACGGCGAAACGCGTCGCATAGTGGTGAGCGTGTGGTAGTGTCTATCTGGCTTTCCTTTTCACTGCGAATTTCAGATCATTAAGCTCGTCTCGAAAGAGAAATCAAACACATAAATCGTAAAACATATGATCTTCGCCTTAATAAGGTAAAACTCTAAATTTAAATGGAACAAAGAAAAAAATATTTGTTCGCTTAGCAAATTTTGTGTGGGGAATTAAGTAGATATTTCTTTATTATTGGTCGAACAAGGAATAGAGAGCGAATCACGTGTCAAGCGAACTTAGCATTAGATTCAATTTTGTTAATTAACCCCAACATTACACTCATGTTTTGGGGTTTTCGCCAATATAATGTTTTTTTTTTTTTTAATTTAAAATAAACGTAACCAATTGTTGCATATTTAAAAGTCTATTTGACACTATAAATTCCGGTGCAGAGTTGCATTTTAGTAAACGTTTAGTTTACCGTCGTATTACTGCCTTAATCAGAGTAAGTATTTTTACAACTCATCAATACATACTGATTGTGGTAAAACCAAACTGAAGCAATTAATAAAGATAAGATTAATCAATGCTGGTGTGTTTCCTCTTAAGGCGAGAATACATAAAACGCTTTCTCGACTGGCTATGTAAAGCCATGGGCTGGCTTCTTCATAAAAGAACCAAGGAGTTTTAGGTTAACTTAGTTCGATTTTGACTATGCGCTCCTTTGTTCTTTTGTAACTTGTTTTCGTAAATATTTTTTTTTTTGTACGTAATTTGGACGATTGAAAGCAATTTTTTGTTTTTATGGCAAATATTAGTTTTGTTTTGGGACTGAAATGTTTCTGCAAGGTTTCCAAAAGTGGTAAAATTTGACA